GAGGAGGGGGAGGGGAGGGAGGGGGAGCTCGGAAAAGAGGAGGATAGGGGAGTGAAGGAGGATGGGAGAAGGGGAGGAAGGAGGAGAGGGGAGAGAGGAGGAGATGGGTAGGAGAGAGGGAAGGGAAGGAAATGGGGAGGAATGGGGGGGAAAAGGAGAAGGAGAGCGTGAAGGGAGAAGGAGGAAGAGGAGGGGAAGGTGAAAGACGGTTAGGGGAATCGAATCTCTTGTTATCATTAATCATTTCCTGGAAAAAATAAAAAATAAAAAAAAGAGAATTATTTTTGTCATCCTCAAGACGATTGCAATTCAGAATATCGATCTTCTTTCAACTCTCTCTCGCCCTAATTGGGGTTTCCCGAAGCCTTTCCCATGCAACATTCTTCTCAAAAGCTCGTCCACTTCGACTTCACATAATAAAAAAGGCACTTCACTATACTCTCGCAAAAAACTAGGTTTCCCCGTCCTACCCGCCCCCGCCTCCACCCGCCCCGCGACACACCCTAAAAATCCATAAAAGAGAAGAGAGATAGAGCGAGAGAGAGTAGAGAGAGAGAGAGAAGAGAGAGAGAGAGAGAGAGAGGAGAGAGAGAGAGAGAGAGAGAGAGAGAGAGAGAGAGAGAGGAGAGAAGAGAGCGAGAGAGAAGAGAGAGCGAGAGAGAGAGAGAGTCGAGAGAGAGCGGAGAAAGAGCGAGAGAGAGAAGAGAGAGAGAGAGAGAGAGAGAGAGAGAGAGAGAGAGAGCGAGAGAGAGAGAGAGAGTAAGAGAGAGTGTGAGAGAGAGAGGGAGAGAGGGAGAGAGAGAGACGAGAGAGAGAGAGAGAGAGCAGGAGAGAGAACGAGGAGAGAGAAGAGAATGAGCAGCAAAAAGAGAGAAAAGAAAGAGAAAGAGAAAGAGAAAGAGGAGAGGAGAAGAGGAGCTGAGAGAGAGAGAGAGAAGAGAGAGAGAGAGAGAGAGAGAGAGAGAGAGAGAGACTCGAGGCCGCAATTTCGCGTTATTTATCTTGCGTAGGCATAGCGGGGCCCCTAAAAAGGTCCTCCCCGCGAGTGCGTGCGTGAATGTGGGTGAAGGGCCAACGACCCATCCGGGGGCACGCGCGCGCGGTGTCTTTGGTAGACTTGTGTTGACATGAGTAACGAGCTCGTGTCTTCCTGTCTTGTGGGGGGGGGGGGGTGGAAGGAGGGGGATTTTTTTTCTCTCTCTTTTCCGTTCTTTCTCTCTTAGTCTCTATCTTCTCCTCGGTCTCTCTCTCTCTCTCTCTCCTCTCTCTCTCTCTCTCTCTCTCTCTCTCTCTCTCTCTCTCTCTCTCTCTCTCTCTTCCTCTCTCTTCTTTCTCTCTCTTTCTCTTTCTCTCTGATGTGTGTGTGTGTGTGTGTGTGTGTGTGTGTGTGTGTGTGTGTGTGTGTGTGTGTGTGTGTGTGTGTGTGTGTGTGTGTGTGTGTGTGTGTGCGTGTGTGGTGTGTAGGGTATGCCTAAGCACGAGCATCTTCTCTATTTCTTTTTCTCTCTTCCTCTTATACCTTTCGTTTTTTTCGACAAGGGTCTGTTTACCTCCCAATCCTCCGCATCTCGTCGAAATTTTCCTCTTTCAACTTTCCCCCTTTTCCCCGGCGCAGAATCACCTGTAGATGGCTGATATACGAGGCGTGAGGGTCTCCCGATGTCCGCGGAATGTTGTTTGCATCACGGACGTTTCTCTCTCTCTCTCTCTCTCTCTCTCTCTCTCTCTCTCTCTCTCTCTCTCTCTCTCTCTCTCTCTCTCTCTCTCTCTCTCTTTGTCTGTGTATGTCTCTGTCTAGCCACCCTCTCCCTCAGCTGCAGCCGCTGACAATTCCTCTTCATTAACCTCTCTGCCTCTCCTTCGAACGGCGGGCATGAGAAAACTGATAAACCGAGGAGGCAGAGACGACCGCAGTTACTCGAGACTTCCCACGATGACCTCACCTTCCGATCGGCGCCTCTGATTAATTGGCCCGAAAATAAAGCCTTCGTCCCTCCATGAATGCTAAGGAGGCGTCCGTTCCGCTCGCTCCTATTGAAAACTCGAGCCGATTCCCGATCCGCGACAAATTCGGGGCATGCGGTCGTCAAAGGCGCCCGGGGATCAGTCGGGCCAAGACGGTGCTACAGCGCGCAGGCACCGAAGGCTGACTATTCCGGTGCTTACACGCGAAGTTCGTCCTCCGGGGGCAGGTCGTGATTTAGTTACGGCGCCTCGACACCAGAGGCGCTGGTCGAGGGGGATTACGCCGACCCCGACCCAGGGGATTACTCGCGCCATGTAGCGGATTGGTGAGCCCGCCACGACATTTTTCAAAGTCCTATGAGCATTTTGTAAGCATGCGCTCCACGACGACAGCCATTTCCCCCGCGACGAAGGCCGACAAATGAGCCCCGGCTGCAGCGCCGAGGCAATTAAGTATCCGCCGAGATCGCGACAGCTGCGGACGCCTCGCTAACAGCAAAAACATTTCGCTTCATCCCTGCAGAGTTAAACAAGCGCCCGTCTCCGGAATCCGTGTTTACCTTCGCGCTGCAGAGGCCATTTTCCGGACGCCACGTGGCAGCTGTTGCCACCTTTATAAACGACAACCTGAGCGCAGTCCACGACCACTCTTTTCCCGCAGGAGATGGTAACGACTGAATTTGCTGCCAGGACAGGGAAGCAAGAGACGCTAATTGCTCGATCAATCTCAATACTTCCTTCCAAATACTCTTGCAACATCCACTGCCTGTTTCCCTCTCGTATATCTCCCGTTTTCTCTCTCCTTCCTTCCCTCTTCTTCGTCCTCCCTGCCCCCGCGCGCGTGTGGCCGGCGGGAGCGGGCGGGCGCGGGCGGGAGCGGACAGGACGGTGTTGCACGGGCGTATTTTTGGCCGCGTTGAGGGCGTGCTGCGGCGGCCATGTTGGTCTGGTCTCGCCGCGCTTCCTCCTTCCAGACACTCAATCCTGCTAGTGGCGGTCTGCGTCGAGGCACTCCCTCGCTCCTGCGCTGAAACTGAGCGTGGGAAAGGCTCTTACTCCTGAACGCATCCTCGGCCGATTTAATACCTGGCTGGTAAACATACGACTTCCCAAGCGGTTCTATTTAACGCTCTCCACATCCTCTCTCGCCCTAAACTCCGCTCATTACACAGGTGCTAGTGTCTCTCTTTTCTCCTCGTGGCTATTTTTCCCGCAGACACTTCCCGGAAGCTACAACCCCCTCCCCTCTCCCCCTCCCCTCCGCCAGGCCCCCCACGGGAGCTTCCCAACACATGTTTGGTCAGCCGCCAGCGCCCCCGCCAGCGCCGCCGCCTCGCCCCTGATGTCACCGCCATGACAGTCCCCGTCTCTACCGTTCTCGCTTTTGCTTCGTCTCCCTGTCTGCTCCGTCTATTTACGACCGTGACGTGCTTGTCTGTCTATCTGTCTGTCTTTCTTGTTTTCTCTCTCTCTCTCTCTCTCTCTCTCTCTCTCTCTCTCTCTAACTTTCGCCTTATTTTTTTCTAACTCTCTTTCTCTTTCGTATACGCATGCGCCCAAACCAAAAACCATCCTAAACCACACACACACACACACACACACACACACACACACACACACACACACACACACAAATCTCCCTCCCCGCCCCAACACGGCCAAAAGCCAAACAAAAACAAAGAGGCAACCGCCGCCCAGTGCAACTTGCAACCCGACAATCACAGCAACATCCCATCAGCGGCGTCCGGCAGGTGAGAGGAGGGGGGGGGGGCTTCAGGCGAGGCAAAATTACCTGAGACTTCGAAGATGCGGAGGAGAAAAGGAAGAGAGGAGGAAGAGGGAGAGAGGGAGAGAGGAGAGAGGGAGAGAGGGAGAGAGGGAGAGAGGAGAGAGGAGAGAGAGAGAGAGAGAGAGAGAGAGAGAGAGAGAGAGAGAGAGAGAGAGAGAGAGAGAGAGAGAGAGAAGAGAGAGAGAGAGAGAGAGAGAGAGAAGGAAGAAGAAAAAAGAATAAAAAAGAAAAAAATAACAAAGAAAGAGAAGGCTACGAAAAGGAGACAAAGCAAGAGAAAAGATGAGAAAAAAGGGAACAACCCGAGAGAAAACCTTCCCCTTCCCCCGTCCCCCCGCACCACCTGTCGGCGCGGCCAACGCAAACAGCGAAGATCACCATCTGGCGGCTCATCTCGGCAGCGTCCTTGTAAACACTAATAATTACCCCGCAAACGTGACGACGCCGAGGTCCCACGCCGCTTATCGACGCCCATCCGCCCATTTAACCCTCAGACGTCTTACTGCGCGGACCTGCTCCACCGCTGCTTGGAATCCAGAAGTACTCGCAGTGAAATTTAAGGAATCCCGCTATAAATCCCCGTTTACGTCCCCCTAGAATGTGAATATCGGTGCAAACATCAACCAGCTGTCGCGCGCGGATTCCCTACAGCTCGGCATTATTATGGAAATCGCGTGTCCGGCGCTACATTCTATGCGACCATTCTCAAACAATGGTAGTTGCAGGTAGCTCTATTTTCTCGAGACAAATATTCATGAGCTGCAATCATTATCAACACTAATTGCAGCCCTGCCCCCCCCTCCTCCTCTTAACTGGCCAAGGAGGAGGAGAGAGGGGAATAGTGAGGAGAAAGAAGGAACGGAGTGGAGGAAGTGAGGGAGTAAGAAAGAGGGAGAAGGAGTAGCTGAGACAAAAATAGGAGAAACGAGAGAGAGGAGAGAGAGAGAGAAGAGAGAGAGAGAGAGAGAGAGAGAGAGAGAGAGAGAGAGAGAGAGAGAGAGAGAGAGAGAGAGAGAGAGAGAGAGAGAGAGGAGAGAGGAGGAGAGAGAGAGAGAGGAGAGAGCGAGAGAGAGAGAGAGAGAGAGAGAGAGAGAGAGAGAGAGAGAGAGAGAGAGAGAGAGAGAGAGAGAGAGAGAGAGAGAGAGAGAGAGAGAGAAGAGAGAGAGAGGGGGGGTTGCCGCCTCAGAATGCAACAGCACGCCTGCAACCGCTGCCCCAACAATGGCCATTAGCAGGCTCGTCTTACCGTTCCCGCGCGCCTTCGTCCGGGCCCCGTGCGAGAGGGAGCCACCGGGCCCACGACACTCAC